CCTGGCTAGAAAATGAATCGCCTTTTCCCGAAAATGAACCAGCTCTTCCCAAAATCCATTATTTGACTGAAAATGAACGGAGTTTCCGAAAGTTAACTAACATTGTCAAAGCTAAAGTGCCTTTACCGGCAAGTCGCAAAGGATAGTTCATTTTGCAATAATGAGCCACATTCTCTGAGAATGAACCGCCTTTTCGCGAAACCTGGAAAAGACTGCTCGATGTTGCTCGTTTATTGAGAAGCAAAGCCAAACATGAAGCATGCCAATAATTGTGTGTTTGTCATTTTTTAGTCGTGGGTTGCCGCGCCAAAAACGAGACAGCATTTGGGCAAACAGTTCCTGGGCTGTCAATGCAATATGGCCGTGGGTGAAAACCAATGGTACCATTTTGGGGTAGGGGCACCACCCATTTTCGAACCTATTTTAGTGGGTACGATTTGGCTTTTGACCCACGGCCATATGTTAAGATTATTCATGCTCGCCAAATGTTTGTATTGGAGAGCGTCATAGTGCCATGAAAGGAATAATTACCCTCCCACCAATTCTCCTGGAACCTGAGAGGGGGTCCTGGTTTGGACCATTTTCCTTTTGAAGGGACCAAGGTCCTCCCACCAATCCTCCTGGAACCTAACAGCAAGTCCAGGATTGGGTCCCCGAAGGTCCAAGGGTTCCATGCGAAGTGGGCGGGCGGGATCGCACGGAGCCGTGAGGCGCTGGTGGGCATGGACGAGCAGCGGGGCTGTGTGGCCAAGGTCTCAGCGCGGGCGAAGAGCCAAGACGTGTGTCAGGCGCGCGGTCGGGGTTGGGGTGGCGTGGGGTGAGGGGAATGAGTTAGACTGACTCCTACAAACCATCCATCATGATTTTCTTAAAGGGAAGCCCCCTCCGGTTCATTCCTAACACCTGGAAGGTCGTTACCTATCGTAGCAAGTTTCGGGGCGGTTTGGGGGCGAGGGGGTGGTCCTTGGTGTGTGTGTGTGTGTTTCTTTTGTGCCGAATTTGGCATTTTGGCTTGGCCCGGCGGTCAATTCTTGAGGCGATGCCCTTGTGATCAGCAGGGTGGAAGAGACTGATGACTAGTCCCCCCCAAATAAAAAGAGGCGCCCCGCCAACTAAAACAAGTCTGCTGGGGAGCAACACGTGTTTATTGTTAGGGTCCCGTGTTCCAGATTTGGGCTGCCAATTAGTTGCCAATTCCCGCGTTTTTCACTTCTGTCTGGTCATGAGCATGCACACGATCATCTTCCCGATTTGTTTTTTTCTAGTTTCTAATCAGGCTGTTCTGTTGAAAATACTGCTTGACTGGAGGAGACATCATAGACAAGAAATCGCTGGTTTGGTACTGGTTTAGAACCGGCCTAGTCTGATTCAAAATTGGGAACGCAGGGATCTAGCAAAACAAGTTGTTATTTCCAGGGGGACCTTTACTATTAGGGGGTGAGGAGTAAATGTATATAGTGTATATGTATAAATATAGTCTAATTATGCATATTTAAAATATACATATCACTATAAAACGAGCCACCTCCAAGTGTACATACTGCCGGGCTTTGGAAGCGGAAAAGGGGTAGGTTGACTGCAAGCCCTGGACTTTTATGAAACATTTTGCTCTGAGCCCAGCAGCTCAGAGCCGATTGTTTTTGGGACTTCCCTCATGGGTTCCGATTCCAACAACTCGAGCAACAAAGCATGCCCCTTGTCCACCGGGCATTTGAGTGAAGCACACAGAGACTTTGAGGTGGACTGGATTACGTGGCTTTCCTGAAGGCTCTTGCAATATTTGATGGGTCAAAATGAAACCAGGATATGGACCGCAGGTCTTAGTCCTTTCCAGAAAACCGGGGCAAGCCATTTTGGGGTTACCCAATTTTTGACCACCACCGCCATTTCTTGCTGCACACTGTGCCTCGCCCGATTTTTCCGGCCGAGCACTTGGTTTCTTGTTGCTTCAGCTAGCCCACTTGGCGAAAGAGCACGTTCCCGGTCCAGGTCTCACCACATGATTGCGAATTATTTTTAATGGTACTGTTGTGTTTCTATAGGTCTGATGTGTTGCTTGTGTTTGTTTTCATGGTACTGGTGCGTTTCTATTTTCTTGTTGGGGGAGAGGGGAGGGGGCAGCACTTCCTAATCTGACTTGTTGTCATTTAGTGCTGCGGAGTTTCGGTGTCAGATATCCCCCGAAAAACATGACAAACCCAAATACGGCAAGCAAGCAAGCGAGCAAACAAGCAACTTTACGGAGCACTGATGAGGGTTTATTGGGAGGCCAGCAAAACCCACCCATTTTGGAGGGGGCCAACCTACACCATGGATGGGCGTCCCTTTTGTGATGTCCCTTTAAACCCACAAGCAAGGGCTACCAACTCAAACATACCGTGGATGGACGAAATCCCGCACAGCTTTGAGACCATGTGAAACCAATGTTTGGTGGTAGTGACAAGGGAATCGAATCATTCCAGGGTTTCTTAGGCGGTGCAGGGTTTCGTCCATCCACATCATGACAGACCCATCTGTCGTCGCCTGCCTTCTGCGCAAGTTTCTGCAGGCCGTGGTCAATGCCCTCATGTGAGAGGGAGAGTCGGGCCGTCCGCTAACGCGCGGGTGCGGGGCCTCGAATGGACATCCCCTACCTGGGGCCTGGAACGACGGAAAATATGTCTTACGGCCGTGCTTGACTCACATCGCCCGAACTGGCCGGACCAGGGTGGCTGACAGGAAAGTAGCACAATCTGCAAGGCAGGGATGTACTCACAGCCGGCATAATGACTTGCAGCCCAGCCCATGTTTTTATTTTTTTAAAGTCCATATGACAAATTAAGAGCGCAACAGCACGAAGCGGGAAACCTCAGTTTGTCGCCATGTGTATGCCAATATGGATGACGCGCATAGGATCCTTTGGTGTGGGGACCAAAGTTTATTCAATGCTAAAACTGTGAATCGAAAATAATCATACTTGGTATAAGGCCCATGCGAAGTGTCTTCTTCAATGCTCGCACGCTACGGTCATGCCAACGTTGCACTGAAATAGAGAATCGCAGGGTCTGTATCCAAAACGAGCGACTTTTACTGGTGTCCCAAAACACGCCTTTTGGGCTTAGAAAACACGTACTTGGGGACACCTCAAAAAAGACAGCCAATTGGAGTTTGCAATAGTTGACCCATATAGGACAGCTTCAACTTTTAAATTCAGGATGTTGACAGGGTGCCATTAAAAAAAGAACAAAGAATTGCCCTTTCTCGAGGGGCACAGTTGTATGATATGAGACCATACCTGAACGCTGCTTATTCGAAGACCGTATTTCGATCGAATCATCCTGGGTCTGTCGCATTCGAGGTCCTCGTTGATTGGCCAATCACCCCGTTTTTTCGTCGAGATGTTGTTCTTTTTGGTACGGTGGATGCCCTAAATATTGCAAGTGGGGAGCAAGGGAAACCCTGTAAATTTCCATGGCTTGTGTTTGGTTTACTTGCAATATTTAGGGCATCCACCGTACTGTTCTTACCCGTGCAACGCCCATTGTTACCCCAAACGACCAGTTTCAAAAAGCCGTTTGTTTCTGCGGATCTCAAATTGTGCTTGATCGGCCTCGAGTCCAATGTTGCCCGGTCGCTTTCGAAAGGTGGCGTTCGAAAGGGGGGGTCGAAATATAGGCTTTCAAAGGGGGGCTTTCGAAAGGCTTTCTTAAATAAAGAGACAAAAGCGATGAGTTCCGAAGCCTGCAAGGATCTTCCAGCAATCTTCATGGCCTCTGCTTTCACCCCAACGCTCGGGTGCCACAATCTCTGCAAGTCTCGAAAGCCCGTTTGGGAGACATGGGTGTGTCTCATAATGAGGCACCCTATCCCGGTGGTCGTTGTTCTTTCATCAGTTTTCCTTTCAAGGCATCAGGTAGAGGGCTCCACTTCCAAGACAGCCCAACACGTTGCCGTGCCGATCCAGACCACAGGAAGATCTTTCGGTTGGGGGAGGGTTGTGTTGGGGGTGGCTTGGGTTGCGGGGGTTTGGGGGGGGGTTGGGTTGGGGTGGTTGGGTTGGGGGATGGTTGGGTTGGGTTGGGGGGTTGGGGTTGGGGGGTGTTGGGTTGGGGGTTGGGTTGGGGGAGTTGGGCGGGGGTTGGGTTGGGTTGGTTTGAGGGGGTTGGGTTGGGGGGTGGGGAGGGGGGGGGGTTGGGTTGGGTTCGGGATTGCAAATGAAGCCAAAGGAAACCAAACGGAAGCCATCTTTCGACGTCCGGGCTCTCCTGGGTTCGAGTCAACGCAAAATTGTCTTTTATTTTATGTCTTCTTCTTTTTTTACTATCTTTGACACCAACCACGAGGCGTCGATCAAAAAGCTTCACCAATGTGAGGGCCATCTCTTTGGGGAAGGTTCTATTTTCACGTGTTTGAGTATGAGCATAGTGATATATGTATCGTGTTGCTCATGTGTTTTTCTTCTAATTCTCTAGCCTTTTAAGATCACGGCTCCATTGAACTTGCATGTTTCTAGCAACAGGCATCCCCTCTGATTGAATGAACGGGCAGCTGAGAGGAAACCGTCATGTTGGGATCATCTGAATTTGCAACTTATCTCTGATTGAATGAACGGGAAGCTATCAGGAATCCGTCATGTTGGGATCATCTGAATTTTGCAACTCGAAACTTGAGAACGGGGTCAGATTTCCTTCCATGTTCAATTCGAGCAGGATGGGCAGGTTTGAGCAACAAGCGTTACCAACAAAACTCAGGCCCCCTTTCAAGGGGACACAAAACGGAGGTTTGACTCATAGGTGTTAAACTTGTTTCAGGAGACGTTGAAGAGGCGGGTCGGAATTGATTAAAGGCGTCCCTTTGGGAGACGTCGCTCAGGGGTGTTGAATCGCCCAAACCCTCAAACCGGATGCTGGGCTCTTTATTTTCACTGTCTCTGGGGGTTGTGAAAGTCAGGCAGGTGGTTGTTTCCCTACCTACCACTTTGGGCCTGACTTTGGTAAAATAGTGGGGTGAGGGATGAGCAGGTGCAGCTGGAGAGGGTGGAGTTTGACCTCAGTCCTTTCTTGGTGCTGCTCTTGGCGAAGCATTTGCGCGCCTACGACCCGGACGTGCCTACGCCTGAAATCAGAGACGAAATCGGGAAAGAACCACCAGAAAGGTTTGATATTGTTCTCTCTGTCTGTTGTGTTTTAATATTGTTGTGTTGTTCTGTGCCTTTAGATATTCTTGGCCGTCGGACTTGTGTACCCAGTTCAGGCAGAAAGGAACACGAAAAAGAGCAGGTATTGACTTGTTCCTTGGCTGAGATGTGAAGACAAACGCCCCCAAGACATCTGATTCATCTGCCTTTTTTGTGGGACAAACGCCCCCAAGACATCTGATTCATCTGCATTCTTTTGGGCGAGCTCACCGACCTGGGGGTAGAACGAGCGAAAGCCATGCGATTTAGGTCCTTTCCTTGGATCTGATGCTTGATTCAGCTTTGGAGTCATAGTATATTTTGCAGATTCATTTTCATCAGGGGACCCTAAAGAATTTACAGTCATGTGTATATCCGAGAACTCATGTGGGTCTAGTGCGATTCTGTTCCGGAAAGATGTCGGATTTGTTGAGCGAGTAGCAGCTTCCAAGCTTGAAGGGTGAAGCATCCGAATGGAACGCGGAAGGCTCCCGGATACAAATTTGGGTGGCCAACAGCCTGCCAGAGCCGACATTCCCGCTTGAGTCCACTTGCCAGAGCCGTGTGTCCAGCTGGTACTCTCATGGTTACCCATATCATGGTTTTCGTTGGGAAACATTTTGCCCATTTTTGCTTCTTGTGGTTTAGTGGTTGAAATCCCCCACTTAACTGCTAAAAAAAGTTTGCTTCCCTGCCAACGTCAACCAAGATATGGTGATTTGAATCGGCGGTTTTTCGGGTTCTTTGTAGAGGGTTTTCTGGAGACCCGTCGAACACCACCCAACCACCGGGCTGCAAACCACCAACTGGGCGGCGAATGCGTGCAAGAAAGGCAGCCACCGCAGAAGTGAGCAGCCATTCACCGAGCAAAAGGGGGGGAACCCATAGTTGCCCGTATTTTTGTGCTGAGAGTTTTTTTTGGTGAAGGCACCCTGCTGGTTGAAAACGGGAAGCCAAAAGGAAGGCCACACTGTTGAGGGTTCGCAAAAAGCACACAAAAAGCAAAACAACACACCCAAATGCTGGCACTTTTTGATGGGCCCCTTTGCTTGGGTGCAGATCTAAAGGACCCAAAGCCAGGGGACGATTCCACACACGCGTGCGTGATTTGGATTCCCATTTATGTGCCGCTGGGGGTCAACCCTGGACCTCCAGGTGCACTTCTCCTCCTCTGGACGGCAGGAGCGGAAGGTAAGATCCGAAGGTGTCGATGTGGGAAGTCAAGGGTTCCATAGGTTTACCTTCTCAACGAACCCAAGAAACCATTGGTTTGAAAAAACCGACGATTTGGCGCAAGGTGGGAGTACGAACTCCTAACCATTCCAGGTTGAACTGTTGCGATTCCGGATTTTTAAAGGTCTGGTCACTGTTCTGGCCTTGGACGCGTTTGCACCGCATCGTGGTGCTCAAATTTGGACCGCTGTGTGACACACAAGGGAATCTTTGGTGCATTTTGCTTGGATGTTTGGGACTTTGACTTTTTGCCAACTAATGAGGTTTTCCGTTAAACCACTAAAAGTTAAAGCCACTGGCCCAAGACCTCCCCGCAGTAGTGGTGGGACTGCAAACTTGGGATTGCAGTTTCATCATTTGGGTAGAGCAGGGCAATGGCCACAGACACATGGAACTGGGAGAGGCTGACTGCCATCTGGTATGACCATGGTTTCGTGCCACAGGTTTTTGAGCATGACCAGCTGTATGAGTTTGACGAGATCACCAGATTGAGTCTTGACGTTCAGATTACCGACATCTCTGACTTCATCTACTGCCATGACAACAGAGGAAAGCGGTTTGTTTTGCAGTACCCGCAATCGGATGTGTGGACAGACGTTGCGCGTGCAATTCACACCCAGTGGCTGAGCAAAGGGGACAACTGTCCTGTGTTCTTGATAGGGGTCAGATTCACAGACAGTGGTTTAGTAGTCGATGACCGTTCGGTACATGTACTGAAAACCCAGGGCAGCAATCTGAACATGCAGTTCCACATCGCGGAAATTTTTTCTGGCGGATACGGAGGTTGGGCTCGCGCAATTCACCATGCCCAGCAGAACGGTGACCAGGTCATTCACGCCTTTGCATGCGATTTCGACCCACAGGCGTGCCACACATGTGCAGTCAACAACAGATGCCAGGTCTTCGACCACCCGGGAAAAGCGGCAGATGCAATTTGCAACATGGAGAAGATTGTCATGAAAGCCAACGTGCGTGATACGAAAATCTGGGGCCTCACATCCATGGCTGGATGCAACACGTTTGCAATGTCCCCACCGTGTCCCCCTTTTTGTGTTTATGGAAGCAGAAAGGGATGGGACAGCACATCGGCCACAGACTTTGCCTTCTCTGTCGCTTGGGCGAAGGTGACAGGAATTGAGACCCTCCTAATAGAGAATGTTTCAGGCATCATCACTGACAATGCGCATCGTTCAGGGCTTCAACTTCTCCTGCAATGGGGAGGGTTCCAGATTGTGCACTCAGAGGTTATCGATCTTGCTGCCTTTAGACCGCTGTCGAGGAGAAGAGCTATCGTGATTGCTAGCACTAGGCGTGGAGAATTCCCTGTTCTCAATCCAGTCAAAGACCGAGCAACCCCAACCAGTCTCCTGCATTCAGGTTGTTGGATCACCCAGATGCCATTTGACGTTGAACAGGAACTTGCCATCACCAAAGAAGAGCGTGACCTCTTGAGCAGGATCGAGTTCATGCCTGAGGATATCAAGAAAAGGGCAACCCAAATTCCCAACGAGCATCGCATCAAAGCCAGACTCACAGCCCCCGATGCTCCGATGCACCCAGGTGTTGCCATGGCATCTTACCGATCACAGCACCTGCTGCACACCGACATTCTGTTGGATCAGGGAATACTTGCAAGAGTTCGACAGGGAAGTGAAGGGATCCGATACTTCCACCCCCTTGAAATAGCACTTGCTGTAGGGATCAGTGATGACATTTGGTTGCCCGGGGACAGCAAAGCAGCGCACCGAATCATTGGTAATTGCATCCCGGAACCACTTGCATATTGGGGAATCCAGGCACTACTCCGCATTTCGAGATGTGACAGAAGTAGTGTTGCCACAAAGCTGACCAGAATGCAATGTGACCAGTGTGTTACTGTGGACAGGTGCGTCTTCGAGTGGGGGAAGCATGGAAATCGCATCCTGATAACACACAAAACGCAAAGGACCCGAATCCAAGCATGGCCCAATGTGATTAGTTTCTGGGTTGCTGTTCAGTTTGATGACATCAGGTTGTATGTTCAGACCCCCCGGTACACCACGATTGCCCAGACCATCACAAATGCCTGCAGACACATCGGGCACGAGCTGCCGAATTGTGATGTGCATGTGAACAGCGTGCCGCTTGCCAACCTCGATTTGTGCATTGCATGGCCATGTAAGATTCAACTTGTCCGAAGCAATATCAGTGCCACGCCCGCCGTTTGTGAGCGCCATCGCCAAGCCCAGGCTGAGTGTGTTGTAGAGATACCAGCATCAACCATGCCCTCACGCCAACAGTGCCTTTCAAAGTGCAGATCCCCCTTGAGGCACCTGTAACCGAGCATCGCGAGAATGCCATCGTCAGGGTGTGGCATGATCAAGTGTGCATAGGTGAAGCTGTAGTGAGTGTCAATTCCAGGCTAGATGAAATCAAACCTGCCTGGTCGCATCAGTGCAAGACAGCGTTCAACTGCTTTGTGAGCAAGCAGCGGGACGGAATCACGGTAAATCAGTGCATTGACAACCTCGGCCTCATTCACATCGACTACCAAGAATCTCTGCCTCAGATGCTTGCCACCCATGACTTGCCCGAACGTGCCACCACATGTGACCGCAGTCCTGTTGAGTGTCCCGTAGGCATGGTCAGTGTCAGCATTGCCAATGCAATGCAAACTCTGTGGACAGGGAATGTCCATGGATCCAGCCGCGTTGACCGCCTGATTCAGGACTTTGCCGGCCAGAGTCAATGTAGTATCAGTGCTGTGAAATGTGATCACACATGCCTTGGCTCTTGCACAGTCGAACAAGCTGCCACAAATGGTGTTCTGGTTTTGTTGATTGAACAACCCAAAGGTGGAGGAACCCTGCATGGCGGATCCCACTCAGGAAACATCCACTCCCCCAATCAATGGACCCGTAGGTCAAATGGATGGACAACCAGTATGCAGGAGCCTCACAGTGAGAACCACCATGAGAAGCTTGCAATTAGAGGACAAACTCTGTGCTGCTGCAGAGAAATCAGAAAGGAGATCAAGTACATCTGCCCACATGTCTGGCAGAACACAAGACTCCGAGTTCCAAATGACACTCAGTGCCAACCAGCGAGCTCATCGTGGGAACCGTGTCCGAAGGTCAGCCGTGAAATTTGTGTCAGTGCAGACCACCATGATGAGATTGCCAGATACAGCCCCCGGACTGCTGTTGCAATTGCGGACATCAGAGCACCTGAATCCTTTGTCAGCAGAATCACAGCCATTGCCTGCAGTATGAATCATCCCAGAGAAATCAGTGACTGCCAAGCTGCACCTGGTTCTGAGCCAGCATCGAGGATCACACCCGTGAACAATGAGGCCAAAGAAGGTCAACCACGAGTCACGCCATGCCACCCTGTTCACATGCTCTGTGATCCCACAAGCGAACCATGTGTGTTGCATGGGCTTGTCCCCGTACTTGCGTTGCAAGATCGGACTGCAACAAATGACCTTGCTCCAAACGGATCGCCAGCAGTGCAAAGACCCGCCAGTGTCTGCTTAGGAATCCATGTCGGTGATCAGCGCTACCGAACGCATGTGCCAGCCGACCCGGAATCCTTCGATCACGCCATTGGCATGATTGCCAGCCAATTGCAGTGCTCACCCCACCAGGTCAACCTGTACAAAGGGAATGTGCCCTTCAGTGTTGAAGTGTGGATCACTGCATGTGGGAACCAGGACACACACTTGTGCCTCACCGACAAACCAGCCCAGACAGTTGCCATTAACAATTTTGTGAAGTGTGCGCAGGTGATTGCCACCACCACCCCGTGGCCCCGTGAGTGCAAGTACGACACTGCTTGGCAAGGAGACCGTTACGGACTCTGCCGAACCTGCGGCAGCCATGAATCGTGGCAGCTTGCAATTGCCGCCATATGCACCCATGCGTGTAACCAAGCAGTGAAAATCACCACGAGTAGTCAGCAATGTGATGTGCCCCTCTCCACTACACACACCCCAATTCGGGCAACACTCGTGTTTGACAGAAGTGTTGCCTGCGAAGTTGAACTCCCAAACGAGCAGTGTGTAAGCACGATCGTGCAACAGATCCAATTGATGTGCCCTGGAGTAATAGGAGTTCAAATCCGCAAACAACATGAGTCGCAAGATGAACATCCATCGAGAGTCACAGTTGACATCCGCGGTGGACTGCGAGGAGGCGGCAAATTCCAACAAGGCCAACAGCCTGGGCCAAGCGCAGCACCCGTCTTGAGAGCAAAGGGCAAGCTTGCCAGTGTGCTAATCGGACGCGGTGCCACCAGCAAAGACACACTCCAGCTTGTCGACTCACTTGAACAACACGTAAGTCGCCAAGATCTGTTGGAAGTTGCAAACATTGACGGAGATGATGAAGCCCTCAAAGCCATAGGAAAAATTGCTGCCGATTTGCCATTAAGCATCAGACAACTCATGCCTGGAAGTGAAGCTGCAGCCAAAAAGATCCAGCAGGGCTTTAGGAAAATATCCAAAAAGCAAGCCACATCCGACCTTGCAGCAAGAAGCAAACGAGCCAACATCGTCCGTGACTTGAGTCAATTCCGTTTTGATGACAACCTTTTTGAGGATGTAGAGGGAAACCCACTGCCTTTGTACCCGTCATTAGAGCTGAAAAAGCAGGGAGTCTCCCTATGCACGGCCGAGGAAATCCTGCCCTTCATTGCAAGAAGTGGGCTACTGAGCTCTGATCATTGCACAGTCCTTACGACTAGCAATGTGCCAGTGCAAGCACCCATTGAGTCTGAAAAGTGGACCATCCCAGCGTGTGACAAGATGGGCAACCAGTCCTGATTGCAGCCTTTGCCATCCACTTAGGTGAAAAACATGCCAAATTAAAGACCATGAAAAATGCCACTGTCCAAGTAACACCTAGCCAGATTGTAGTGCTGAAAGCACACAGTGATACCATGAGTGCCGCACAATGGAGTCAGGCCATCCA